GAGAGGTCACCACAACATGAGGATCTGTATTAAAGGGTCACGGCATTAGGAAGGTTGAGAAGCACTGGTCTAGAAGGATGTCCGGAATGACGTGCAGAAGGTCATTAGGCTGCCCCATCTAATTAGCATATTATGCTTTATTATTATAGATGAGGAATACCAACATTCAAAGAGTTTAAAATAGTTGCTCACAGTTCCACAGAAAAGTGGTAGAAGAGGATGCAAACACAAGTCTTTCAATTACTAGTTCAAAGTTCTTTCCATGTCAATAATTTGCTAAATTTTAATATACTCTTAGGCAGTCAGACACAAGATTAATGAACTCTTCTTGTTCCCACCCTTTTGAAGAAAAATCATTAGGATATTGTTACTACAGAAAGCAGTAAATGACTGAAAGAATACCTATCACTCACTAGTGTTACATATGTAAAATAAAGATCAAACTCAATTTCTGACCTTCTTTGATTATCCTTTCTTTTCTGTGTTCCACAATGAGTCTACACTCATATTTAGAGCTGGCTACTTTGCAAATGTTTGGTGTTAAATATAAGGGAGACGTTTAAACCTATCTCAACAAGCCATAAACCTTATAGCAGGCCTCCCTAAGATTGAGGAATTAACCTCCCACTCTCAAGCTTAGAATCAACAGAGTTACAGACGAAAAGTCTTGACAGAGCAGACGAGCTGGAAAAATGGCTATGTGCAGAGTGGGTTGTAGAGTCAATGAGGCCTGAAACTTTGGTAGAGGCAAAAATGACAATACTGAAGCTGTCCTACTTTGGATACATCATGAGAAGACAGAGTTCTTTGGGAAAGATAATAATGCTAGGAAAAAGAGAAGGCAGTAGAAAAAAGGAAGACCAAATATGAGGTGGACTGACTGCATAAAAGAAGGCATGAGTCTACAGGAGCTGAGTCGGAATGTTGAGGAGAGGACATTGTGGATTTCACTCATTCACAGTGTTCCCAAAAGTCAGAGCCCACTCAAAGTTAAGGCAGCTAACATACATTTAACAGAGATAAAAACACAGTAAGAGTCCTACGGGAAAAAAATCTCCAAGATTCTCAAAAGTACAAGAATCTATTTCAAGAATCTAAGTGAGAAAAAGAGGGATTGGCTAGAAAATAACTTTCATATTTGAGTGTACTCATGGCCGTGACATGCAGCCTAAGGCCTTGATGATATAGGTTAGTAAGAAAATCTTTATATGTATTGGAAAGCAAAATCTTTGATAAAAATAAAAAAATAAAAAGACTGTAAACTCATAGAAAAACAAATCCTTTCTTTCAAAAATAAGTAATTTCTGGGTATGAAATGGCCCCCTCAAAAAATCAAGTACAAGAATATAAACCAAAATATTTTGTTATATGGGAGATACTATACAAGTGGCTGTTTCTTAAAGCAAAATCACCAAAACGCACTTCTCTCCTATAAACAAATAATAAACTGAATAGTCTCCAATAACTTATGCTCTTTTGGTTTCTTCTTTCATTAAGAGGACTTCCATTAGGTATATGCCAAAAGTAAGAAAAACTAATTTCCTCAGCACTCAAATAAAACAGAGTATCTGGGTAAGGAGGAACAAATTATCAATAAGGGGGGGTGAAAGACTTTGAAACATGACTGGACCCCAGGAAGAAACAGACCTAGAGACTAAGAGAACAGGGCTTAATCAAAATAAACATTCTGTAAATGTAAAGACTAAATTTAAAGGAATAACTTAAAGGTTTTTAGGGTTCTAATTCTATAATCCAAGTTATCTATAATCTACTGTTCAACTTACCTTTTAACCTACTGATATGCAGATTTTTTAAAAAACTGTACAAGTACTAATAATGTATTTTCTCTGTATTATGATTTTCTTAATAACATCTCTTTTCTATAGTTTTATTGTAAAAATAGCTACAATAGATAAATATGTAAATTTACCATACCTCCACGACACCCACAACCAATCAGGAGGGAATATGCAAATTAGCAGGACAAAGATGGTGGTGGCCACAGAACCAACCGGAACGGGCTGGAGGCTCGGGTTGCCTGGGCCAGCCACTGAAGGAGAGGCCTGCACACGACCCTCAGCCCCTCACCCAGGCTGGCCACGCCCCCATGGGGTGAGGGTCCTGCTGGGGGGCATGGCCAGCCTGAAAACAGCCCTCAGCCCCTCACCCAGGCTGCCCACGTGCCCCCAGTGGGGGGACCCCCACCCCAATCGCCTGAAGGCCAGCCTGCAAACCACCACAGGCCCCTCGCCCAGGCCACGCCACTGCCTAAGGGAACCCCCACTCTGATCTGGGACACCCTTCAGGGCAAATCAGCTGGCCCCCATCCATGCAGCAGGCCTCTATTTATACTAATAAAAAGGTAATATGCTAATTAGACTGGGAGGCCTTCCAAGAGACATTCTGGACGTTCTTCTGGACAAAGCCATGATGATGGGCCAAGGTAGAGGTGTTTAGGGGCCAAGAGGGGAGGGCAGTTATGGATGATCAGGCTGGCAGGGGGGCAGTTGGGGTGAGCAGGCCGGCAGAAGGTGGCAGAGTGGTTAGGGGCAATCAAGCAGATGAATGGTTAGGAACCAGAAGTCCTGGATTGCGCGAGGGATCGGGCCTAAACAGCAAGTCGGACATCCCCCGAGGTGTCCCAGATTAGAGAGGGTGCAGGCCAGGCTGAGGTACACTCCTCCCTCCCCGCCGCACAAATTTCACGTACTGGGCCACTAGTAATATATAACAAACAAAACATGTGTCAATTGACTGCTTGTTATTGGTAAGGCTTACAGGTTGGAGGAGTCAAGTCACATGCGAATTTTCAACTGTGCAGGAGTCAGCATGCCTAACCTCCAAGTTATTAAAGGGTCAACTACAATTAATTTTCCCCTCCTACTTAAGTTATTTCACTATTGGTACGAACAATATAAATTTTTCAGGAAAAAAAAATGCAGTGACCTTACCTAGTAGCAAACTGAATGAGTGCATTTTGAAGAGTCTGTCTAATTTCAAGAAGAAAAGATTCATCATCACTTAGTGTATAATACCAATACTGGACATAATCCCTCAAGGAAAACTGGATAACCTAAAACAAGAATATTGGGGAAAAAATACAACTATTTAGGATTTTAAAAGTAACAGTGGCAAACTAAAACCTAAAGGATTATTTGCCAATTGATAATTATTCTCTATACACTAAATTGTGGTGGTAAATAACTGCATTTATTTTAAAAGCATCAATATGTCAAAAACTATTTCAAAAATTTTTAAATTATTTTGGTATGCCAATTCATAAGCTTCCCAAATTTTTTTTTAATTAGCTATCTATGGCCAAACCCACTCCAAATTCAAAAAGACGGTGCCTGCAAAAAAAGTAAATTTTCAATGTTATTATGTAATGAAGAGTTTTAAGCAGTTTGATTTAATAAGATAAAAAGTAATGCCAATGGACCCTAATTCTCCAAAAACAGCCCACAATTTTTCCAAGATTATATCTTTGGATTCCTTTCAAATTACAAAAATGACATAGTTCACTTAATTCTAACACCTTCTATACTGCCAGCAATATTAAGTTAGCCAATAAATAGCACATAATACAACTTAATTTATAACGTTTTTGTAATTCATATAAACTAAACATGGGTTTATCTATCAAATGACTGTTAGAATTTTAAGATACACATTACTTATAATAATCATGTAATTTTAAAAAATCAGTGAAAAATATTTGGGGGGAGAATATTTCTAATTCTAACTTTTTTAAAATACATTTAATCACCTTTATTTGTTTATTGTTTGTTTGTCTTTGTTAATCCTCACCTGAGGATATATTCCCATGGATTTTTAGAGAGAATGGATGAGAGAAGGAAAGACAGAAATATCGATGTGAGAAAAACACATGAATTCGTTGCCTCCTGCAGGAGCCCTGACCAGGGCCAGGGCTGGGGAGGAGCCTGCAACCAAGATACATGCCCCTGACCAGAATCGGACCCGGCACCGTTTGGTGTGCAGGCTGATCTCCATCCACTGAGCCAAACCGGCTGGGGCAAACTTAGAGTCTTTTTTTTTGTTAATCCTCACCTGAGGACATTTTCTCGTTGATTTTTAGAGTGTGGAAGGGAGACAGAGAGAGGGAGAGAGAGAAACATCAATGTGAGACACACACAGGGCTGGGGAGTGAGCCTGCAACCGAGGCACATGCCCTTGACCGGAATCGAACCTGTGACCCTTCAGTCCGCAGGCCAATGCTCTATCCACTGAGCCAAACCAGTCAGTGCTTAATTCTAACTTTTGAATGTTGTTGAATTGAATAAAGTATATGCACTTTACCAAGTAATAAAACTAGTAGGGAATTATGTCTGATTTACCAAAGCACTAAGTTTGTTCATTAGCTAAAGATTACACTTTAATTATAAAATAACTAAAAACATTATCAAATATGTCAGTAAAAACTTTTTTTCTAAATGAAAATCAATCAAAAGGCTTAGTATTAAATATAGTAGCTCATTATAAATTAGTTCATAAATAAGGCAGCATCTTTAAATTTAGAACCAAGGGTAGAATTATATTTCTAGCATGTTACATAAATAGCAAAATTATTTTCAAAAGAAATACACTTAGCACACAATATATGGAATTCAAATACCACATACTGAAACTCACTTGCTGGAGAGGTTCATCAATTATATTGGCACCAGTTAATCTTCTATCGATCTTTATAGTCCCGGCTTCATGTTTCATTTCTTCTAAACACTTAAAGGAAACCATCACATTTTACTTCATAGTTTCTTGATTTAACATCTCTGTGGTTTACTTCTAACTGAATATTCATTGTAACTTTCCTGTCATGATCTTCAAGTACATAAATAACCTTATTTCTTGACACTCTAGTAAAAACCAAACACTACTTCTCAAGTTAGCAAAACTACTAACCAAAAATAAAAATCTATTCTTAATTTCAAAAATGTAACAAAATCTGAAAACATTATTTAGAATTTGAGAAAACTGAAAATATACAGAGATAATGTTGACATATTTCAATGAAACTTTAAACCATAAGTTAGTTTAACTGAGTTAAATTATTAATTTTCCTCTTCCCTTTATCCCCTCCCAGCCTAAAACAGTTGGCAACAATATCCTTTAAGTTGATTTTACTTAGCGATGATTTTTTAACAATTAAAGAAAATTAATTTGTTCATTTCTCTGTAGTCTTCAGAAAGATCAGCTGTCTGGAAACAGATGAAAAGTAGTGGTTCACTCTTCAATTAAAAATACAAACCAAAGCCTACTTATATATATTTACTAGAGGCCCAGTGCATAAATTCGTGCACAGGTAGGATCCTTTGGCCTAACCAGAGATTGGGGTCAGCTACCAGGGGGAGGGACCATGGGACGATGGCCAGCCACAGGAGGTTGGCTGTGGGAGTGCACTGACCGCCAGGGTGAGAACGTGCGTTGAGCGTCTGCCCTCTGGTGGTCAGTGCACGTCATAGCAACTGGTCGAATGGTGGATTGTTTGCTTAGGCTTTTATATATATACCAGAGGCCCGGTGCACAAAAATTTGTGCACTCGGGGGAAGGGGAGTCCCTCAGCCCGGCCTGTGCCCTCTCGCAGTCTGGGACCCCTCGGGAGATAACGACCTGCTGGCTTAGGCCTGCTCCCAGGTGGCGGAGGGCAGGCCCAATCCCTAGGTGCAGCCCTTGGTCGGGCTCAGAACATGGCCGATTCGGGAGTTGGGGCGCCGCCCCGTCGTCATGCACAGAGCAGGGTGATCAGGAGGTTGTGATGCCACCCTCAGTCACGCTCAGGGTAGGGCCGATCGGGGGTTGGGGCACCATCCCGTCACACTCAAGGGAGGGTCGATGGGGAGGTTGCAGCGCCACCCCCTGTCACGCACAGAGCAGGGCCAATCAGGAGGTTGGGGCACC